TACTGGAGGAAATTCAGGGGTGGCAGGGGTGTATGGTTTATTTTAGGAGGCAAAATCTGGAGGGTGTGGAGTGGGGGATGATTTGGGGTGATTTGTGCTGGGAGAGGGATGAGGGAAAAAGGGATTGTGTTAGGATGGGGATATGTCTTCGGAAGAGGGACCTGGGGGGGGGGGGGGGGGGTATTTGTGCTAGTAAGGATTAACTGGGGGAGGGCAGGATTGGTGCTAGGAGGGGAAATTTGAGGGAAAAGATTTGTGCCAGGAGGGGGGATTTGGAGGGGGAGGAGATTTATGTTGACAGGGGAGATATGAAGGTAGAGGATTTGTGCTAGGAGAGGGGATTTGTGGAGGGAGAGGACTTGAGCTGGGAGGGGGTATGGTGGGGGAAAAGATTTGTGCTAGTTGAGATTTCGTCAGAGGGAGAGTTTTTGGCTTGCAAAGGGAATCTATGATAGGGGGTAAGCGTTCAAATTGGAGATTTTTGATAACACATGATGCTTATACATGGAGTTTGGCATCTTCACCCTGGACAGCCTTGTCCCAGCACTGGCTGCATGTCAGCATGATGTTCTGCACATTGTTGGTGCAGAAGGACAGACATGCCTGTCAGTTGGTTGTGATACAACTGGCAGTCCTGTCTCTCCTCTTGGTGGAAATACTGTTGGAGCATCTTTTTTAGATTTCAGGGTTTCAATGTAAATTCTAAAAAAGCAAGCACAGTTTAAATACACTGAAATGCCTAAAAGCCCTAGCAGAACCTTGCTGGGTGCAGGGAATACAGCTTACCCAACACCTGCCATGCTGCATCGTAGTTGGGAATTTGGGGCTTCCACAGAACATTCTTGTGCATGCAAAGACTCGTGAATCAGAAAAAGGAAGAATCAATGTAAGAGAACAGCACAAAGTATCATTGCCCTGCGATACCTGACCCTGAACTGAATTTCCATATATAAAACTTTCCTTTGAGAACCTGTTTCTTAGATATGTTGTTGCCTAGGACAGTGTAGTAATTTTTATCAATCTTTAAAAGTATCAGCTATAATGAGATAATGAGGCATAAATTCAGCCAAACTTTGATCATCCAATAATATTTGATCCCTCAAGGTCCATCTGTCAACAAGCTTTCAAATCATTTTAATTTCCAAACAGTTCTTGAAATGCATTACGTATATTTGTGTAATACAAAATCTATACTTTTCTCCTACAGCAACAGCACTTCTTAGAATATTTTCTTTTACGTGATAAAAGGAAAATTGTCATGACAACCATGATAATGATGCCCAGTGGGTATTCTTGAATATCGAGTTACAATGGTATACAACGTAAGTCTTGAGAAAGACAGCCATTTTAAATATAAACTCCAAACAATAACATTAGTTTCTAATACAATTCTGTAGCAATATCCATCAGTCAAGTGTTTGTTTTGAAGTTTAGGATGATTCAGTTGTAAGTTTTGCTGTTGGCACCAGTAAATTGGATGATGTGTTTTTTATTAAAAAAAAAAATAAAATAAAACTTGAACTTTTCTTATCTTCATTTTCAGCTGTGCACAACTTTGCACATAATAAACAAAAACTTCCACTAAGCAAAGTTGGATTCTCAAATAGCCACATGAAAAAAAAAACATTTTCATTTTAAGAAAGCTATAACCTTTTCTTTTTAAAAAAATATTGTTTTTCCTTTGATCCTTAGCTATCTGTGAGAAGCGATTGACCTTTCTTGAAACATCATAGCTAAATGAGTCTGGAGTGAAACAAAATTTTAAAACATTGATCCCCACAACTACTGTTGCATATCACCCATTGGCACTGACTATGCTCAGCTGGTTCTAATAGCTTCTTGTACTATGATCAAGTTTGACCTTGGACTTTCCTCAACTGGTCCATGTTGGATTATGGCCACAGTGGCCAGATTCTCTAGTTTGTTGCATATGTTACTGCAGGTAGTCAAGTAGAAGATCACATATGGAAAATACCAATGCTAGGTTCAACATTTTTTTTTGTATCAGGCATTTCTAAATAGCTACATTCTGGTTATACATAGGCCATCTGGTCATTGCGAATTTCCATCTTAAAAGCCAATGGAACTAGATTTTGCAGTGTTTATAACAGAAGGCTGCAAATAAGGGTTTATTACCCAGAAATAGGTTCTTGCACGCCCCACCAGGGTGGGATATGGGGTAAAAAAGCTTCACCTCAGACCTCCTGTTGAGGTGAAGGTGCGAATACCCAATTAGCTGCCTATCATTGAGAGATCAGAGAGTAGCCTATAGCCTAAAGGTCAACCTGCGTCAAGAAATCTTTGAGATTTACTGATATTTGCTAGTTGGACAGAGGACTATCTGGGAGGCAAGTAGGGGGTGTCAGTAAGGGTGGTGTTTGGTGTGCATGCGTGTTATAAAATGCTGAGTCAGGCCAATCATTCCTGTAGCCTGAGAATAGACTTGCATAATGTATCATCTCTGTTTTTGTTTTTATGTACTCATTAATATTCCCTTACATTTGTCAGGGAACGCACATACTTATGCGCAGGTTTTCTGTAAGCTTTGCTCTCGGCTGTTTAGCGGGTGCACGAGCACGCACACAAACACGTGCATGTACGCATGTGCGAGCATGAAGGCACATTGGCACCAGGCGGGCTATTTAAACTGCACTAGTTCCTTGTTTCAGTGCTGCTTGGTCTATTATGTTTCCTACATTCTGTGCATCTGTTCCTGTATCGCTCTTCTGTTGTCAACCTGATCTGCTCCTGACTCTGCCTGAACGCTGACCACACTGACCCCACTGACCCCTGGCTTGACTCCTGACTACTTTTCTTCCTGCCGTTTATGCCTGATTTGCCTGCTAGTTCCCAACCCAAACTGTCTGACCTCACCTGTATCCTGCTCCCTGCACCTGAACTAGCTGAGCCACGCCTGTCTCCTGCACCTGTTCTTCTGCCAGCGTGCCATCTGCCAGCAGCACCTGCGTTCCCAGACGCACATCAACATGTCTTATCAGGCACTCATGCCACTCTGTGCTCTGGAGTTCCCTGTTACTTTACCAGGGCTCCTGAGCCAGAGATGTAAGAGAGGATTTCCTCTGCATTTTGGGCCTCATCACCAGGTACGTTACAACATTCCTGTGTATTAATGTTTTATTTTGCAAATAAATAAGACCTTTGCTTCTTTAAGCATTGTGATTATTATTTAAAATTAGTATCATTTATACAGTATTATTACTATTAATATTACCACAGTTATAATAGATTTGCACATTATAGGAACAGACAAAATATACACTATATTGCCAAAAGTATTGGGACACCCCTCCAAATCATTGGATTCAGGTGTTCCAATCACCTCCATGGCCACAGGTGTATAAAAATCATCACGTAGGCATGCAGACTGCTTCTACAAATGTTTGTGAAAAAAATGGATCGCTCTCAGGAGCTCAGTGAATTCAAGCATAGTACCGTGATAGGTTGCTATCTGTGAAGTAAGTCCATCCGTGAAATGTCCTTATTACTAAATATTCCACGGTCAACTGTTAGTGGTATTATAACTAGAGATGAGCGAATCGAACTTGGCGAAGTGGAATTCGTTTCGAATATTAGGAAAAATTCGATTCGCGCCGAATCCGAAAATTAGCAAACTTCGGATGCACGAATCGAATTTTCCCCGATCGGCCGATTTTCATCCCTTCTACAGCCGGCAAAAAAGTGTCCCTGCAGAGAGCTCCGCTATTTCTGACAGTTCTCTGACAGTTCCTTCACATTTACAGCGGTTGAAACATTGTATCTATTTGTTTCCATTTAGGATACAGATGTTTTTATTCGGAAACAAATAGATACAATGTTTCAACCGTGTAAATGTGAAGGAACTGTCAGAGAACTGTCAGAAATAGCGGAGCTCTCTGCAGATACACTTTTTGCTGGAATGGAATTCTTCTTATTTTCATCCTACTTCTTCATCCTCTTCTTCTTCTTCTTCTTCTTCTTCTTCATCCACATCCTCTTCTTCTTCTTCTTCTTCATCCTCATCCTCTCTTCTTCTTCTTCATCCTCATCCTCTTCTTCATCCTCATCCTCTTCTTCTTCTTCTTCATCCTCTTCTTCTCATCATCCTCATCCTCATCCTCCTCTTCTTCTTCTTCTTCATCATCATCCTCTTTTTCATCCTCATCCTCTTCTTCTTCTTCTTCTTGTTCTTCTTCATCCTCATCCTCATCCTCATCTTCTTCTTCTTCTTCTTCTTCATCCTCTACTCTTCTTCTTCTTCTTCTCATCTCTTCTTCTTCATCCTCATCCTCATCCTTCTTCTTCTTCTTCTTCCTTCTTCATCCTCATATTCTTCTTCTTCATCCTCATCCTCTTCTTCTTCTTCTTCTTCTTCATCCTCATAACCCTCTTCTTCTTCTTCTTCATCCGCATCCTCTTCTTCTTCTTCTTCTTCATCTCACCTCATCTCTCTTCTTCTTCTTCTTCTTCTTCTTCTTCCTCATCCGCATCTCTTCTTCTCATCTTCTTCTCTTCCTTCATCCTCATCCTCTTCTTCTTCTTCTTCTTCTTCTTCTTCTTCTTCATCCTCATCTCTTCTTCTTCTTCATCTTCTTCTTCTTCTTCTTCATCCTCATCCTCTCCTCTTCTTCTTCTTCTTCTTACCTCATCCTCTTCTTCTTCTTCTTCCTCATCCTCTTCTTCTTTTTCTTCTTCTTCTTCATCCTCCTCTCTTCTTCTTCTTCTTCTTCTTCTTCATCCTCATCTCTTCTTCTTCATTCATCCTCCTCTTCTTCTTCTTCTTCCTCATCCTCATCTTCTTCTTCTTCATCATCATCTCATCCTCTTCTTCTTCTTCTTCATCCTCATCCTCTTCTTCTTCTTCTTCTTCTTCATCCTCATCTTCTTCTTCTTCTTCATCCTCATCTTCTTCTTCTTCTTCCTCATCCTCATCCTCTTCTTCTTCTTCTTCTTCTTCTTCATCCTCATCCTCTTCTTCTTCTTCTTCTTCTTCTTCATCCTCATCTTCTTCCTCATCCTCATCCTCTTCTTCTTCTTCTTCTTCTTCTTCTTCATCCTCATCCTCTTTCTTCTTCTTCTTCTTCATCATCATCCTCTTCTTCTTCTTCTTCTTCCTCATCCTCTTCTTCTTCATCCTCATCCTCTTCTTCTTCTTCTTCCTCATCCTCTTCTTCTTCTTCTTCTTCTTCTTCTTCTTCTTCATCCTCATCCCTTCTTCTTCTTCTTCTTCTTCATCCTCTCTTCTTCTTCTTCTTCTTCTTCATCCTCATCCCCTTCTTCTTCTTCTTCATCCTCATCCTCTTCTTCTTCTTCTTCTTCTTCTTCTTCCATCCTCTTCTTCTTCTTCTTCTTCATCCTCATCCTCATCCTCTTCTTCTTCTTCTTCTTTTTCATCCTCATCTTCTTCTTCATCCTCATCCTCTTCTTCTTCTTCTTCATCCTCATCCTCTTCTTCTTCAATTGAAGCTGCTTCTGCTCCACCACTCTGCCATTGGACTCTTGATAGTCGTCTCCCCACACTGCTGTTGGGGGGACTTTTTAACATAGGCCTCTGTATGGCCTTCAATTTAAGCTGCTTACGCTTCGCCACTCTGTCATGGGCCCCTGTACCGCCTCCTCATGCTGCTGCCAGGTCCGTAATCTGCCATGGGCCCCCCGTACCGCCTCCTCATGCTGCTGCCAGGTCCAGAGTGTGTCATGGGTCCCTGTACGGCCTCCCATTGCTGCTGTCTCCATCGCCACACTCTGCCATGTGCCACTTTCAGGTCTCCTCACACTGCTGGTGGGTTCCATTTTGTCATAGGGTGCTGTATGGCCTCCCATTGCTGCTGCCTCCACCACCACACTGTGGCTCCACACTCTGGTTTTGGCCCCGTGACTGCCCAAATGAGTGAAGTGTGCGGTGATTCTAAGATCGACGGCACTCATCTGCATGTCATACTGACTGACAGTATTATTTCTCTTCCCCAGCAGACTCCAAGGGCATTTAAATTAAAGGTACAGTGTTCTGCACTAATATAAAGGCTCTCTGAAGCCTAGAAACCCTTTTATAAGTTAAATTCGCAGCGAATAAATTCGCATTGAATCGAATTTAATTCCGCAAATTCGGCGAATCAGCCGAATCGAATTTTTGAATAATTCGCTCATCTCTAATTATAACAAAGTGGAAGCAACTGGGCACAACAGCAACTCGGCCACCAAGTGGTAGGCCATGTAAAATGACAGAGAGGGGTCAGCGCATGCTGAAGCACACAGTGCTCAGAAGTCACCAACTGTCCACATAGTCACTAGCTAAAGACCTTCAAACTTTGTGTGGCCTTCAGATTAGCACAGCAACAGTGTGTAGAGAGCTTCCTGAAATGGGTTTCCATGGCCGAGCAGCTGCATTCAAGCCTTACATTACCAAGTTCAATGCAAATCATCGGATGCAGTGGTGTAAAGCACGCCGCCACTGGACTCTAGAGCAGGGGAGACGTGTTTTTTGGAGTGACGAATCATACTTCTCTGTCTGGTAACCGATGAACATATCTGGGGTTTGGCGGTTGTCAGGAGAATGGTACTTGCCTGACTGCATTGTGCCAAGCATCAAGTTTGGTGGAGGGGGATTATGGTGTGGGGTTGTTTTTCAGGGGTTGGGCTTGGCCCCTTAGTTCTAGTGAAGGGAACTCTTAAAGCATCAGCATACCAAGACATTTTAGACAATTTAATGCTCCCAACTTTGTGGGAACAGTTTGGGGATGGCTCCTTCCTGTTCCAACATGACTGCGCACCAGTGCACAAAGCAAGGTCCATAAAGACATGGATGAACAAGTTTGGGATGGAGGAACTTGACTGACCTGCTCAATCCGATAGAACACCTTTGGGATGAATTAGAGTGGAGACTGCGAGCCAGGCCTTCTCATCCCACATCAGAGCCTGACCTCACAAATGTGCTTCTGGAAGAATGGCCAAACGTTCCCATAGACACACTCCTAAACCTTGTGGACAGCCTTCCCAGAAGAGTTGAAGCTGGTATAGTGGCAAAGGGTGGGCCAGCTCAATATTGAACTGGGATGCCATTAAAGTTTGTGTGCGTGTAAAGGCAGACATTCCAGTACTTTTGGCAAATTTAGTTTGTTTAGTTTAAATGGCTGTTACAAGTGAAGAGCAGTCTGATCTTGGATACAAAGCCTGACCAAGTGCCCATGCCTTTCAGCTGGGATTTCTTTGAACTGGATGCAGTAAATAGTGAGTACATAAACAGTTATTGTGTGGTATCCCAGTTAATGGAATGCTTTTCCCATACTGCATGTAAAAGATACACAATATAGTTAACTGCTTGCTTTACTTTTTAAATCAATTTGTTTGTTTGCTTGTTTTTTATTAACACTGTTCTTCTTAAATAGGAACCTGTGGGCTCAATTTACTTTGCAAGGTCTATATCTATAGCACAGCCACCTGTCTGTACATTCACTTTGTTTCAAAATACTTAGTGTCCCAAAAACACAGGTACATTATTGTTCAGATATGGTCCTCAGCTTCACTGCTTAATGTTTTCCCCTCTCATTATGCTCCACTCCTTTCTATTTGTCACCGATCAAGATGGGCAGCCTCACTATCCAATTGGAAGACTTGGAGCGCAGGAGGATGGGATCTAATTATTAGCTGTGAAAATTGTGCTTGACTTTTCACGTATTGGGGATACTCAGTGCTCTGAAGGTTAAGTCAGTTTGTGAGCAGAAGACCCTGGCAGACAACATACTGGTGGACACTTGGCTGGCTGATAACAGGTTGCTGTGCAGAGCAGACTGGTAGAAGCCAGGTACGTAGGTAGTGTACAGATGATAAGCATTTGAAAGACAGGATAAGGCAGGATATGGAGTCAGCCACACCAGGTCGGTAAACAGATGGTCAGACCAGGCATAGACAGCAGGCAGCAGCAGAATATTCAGAACACTGGCCAAGGTCAGCAGTGGTGGAGTAGGTAAGACTAGGCAGGAGGCAAAGGCAATTCCAAAGACAAGCCGGGGGGCAGTAACAGAAAGTCAAGTACAGGAACTGGAAACAGGATACACAGAAACACTGCAGGTCTGACAGCAACTGGCCAGTGCAACAGCTCAACTTAAATAGTCCACTTGGTGGCAGTGTTAGTGGCGGAGGTGTGCCACTACATCACTGCTGAGTCCTGTAGAAACATAGGGATCAGAAGAAGCAACTATGGCATGCAGAAAGGTTCTCCCAGTGCCCAGAGCAATGATGTGGAACTGCGCCCCCCTCCCTTGCTGCAGATGCATGACATAAAATAGGTGTGTTGCGCTGGGCACATTCTCTGACCCCTTGCTCCTGCTGCCCACGGTTGGCCAATTGTTTGCTTTCTAGTAAGCTAGAAGGTAGTTGTGCATGCACTGTGTGCTTTTCATGTCAGCTGTAGGCATTGGGTGGGAAGTGGGCATTTTGGAGCACATTGTGACAGCAGTAGTTGTGAAAGCAGACATGACTCAGCAGCCAGCAAACACAAATGCTCCTGCGCTTGGGGATGGACTCGATGCTACAACCACATTAAGAATGTCCTGGAACATGCACACCTTGCTGCCCTCAAATGGACCGGGGGAATCCAAATATACTGAATGGGGAAAGAACAAAAAGAGGGCGCACAGGCCTAGTGCATTACCATAAAAAAATGTTTAATAAAAAATAAAGTAGGTGTTGTACTCACAAACGACAATATAGTCAAGGCACATCATAGAAGAACAGGTGGATCAACACCGCGCTGAGTAACAGTCCACAATAGGGAGTTTAGACATCCAAAAGTCTGACGCGTTTCGAGGACTTGCCTCTTCCTCAGAGCCACTTTTTGTTCTTTCCCCATTCATGACTCAGCAGCCAGAAGGTTGCTAGCCACTGATTTGAAGCATGTGGTGAAGAGGCACCCACCCCCTACTACTGTGTCTGAGTCAGCTGTCCCTCCTGCCCACCCCTTGTCCCGGCCCTGATGGCATGTGGAAGGGGACACCCTGAGGATACAATACTGTAATGGAGGGCCATCATAAGTGAGTATGCTACTTTTTTATTGTGCATATTTTTTAAGCTGACAGGGTTACTTCAATTTCAATATAGAGTAAAGTCACTGACTTGGCTAAACTTTCTGGCAGGTTTACAATATCCTCAGGACTGGCTGAACAGGATTACAGATTCTTCAGCTGGTACATATAGGACAAATAAATATATGTATTTTATATATACAAGTTTGAAAATTTTGCAAAAAAATTGGTTTTCCCGAAGTTCAACTTTAAGGGAGACTGAGTGATTTAGATACAGAAGTGTCACTCCAGAAGAAAAGAAAGATTGGAGGTCTGATCACATCTTGTTTATACAGACAAATCTATGTATATTTCTTATGGGAAGCTGATGACTTTATTCATAAAACATGCACTAGAAATCAAGCACTTACAAAGGAAGCTCCTTTGTGACATTTTTAAAGGATAAAAGGTAATCAGGAGTATTTAATGTGACTTCACTAGGACAACCATGCTTGTCATCTTCCAATAAAAAGCAAGTCATTTCAGACTCAAGCTGCTTGTCATATAAATCAAAAGGAGACAAGCTCCTCGAGGACATTGAGAATACTGTAAGTTTACTAGTGGAATGTTCTGCACTCCTTCAATTTATACTGGGATCAAGGGGAGATCAATCAGAAACACACTGCAACTCTTTCCTTACTTTAATGATCCGATCACTCCGAGGACATTTCAGAACACTTAGGCAAAAGAAATAGAATGTTATTCTAAAACAGGAGAGTGTATATTTTATTTATGTGATTGGATAAGTGTGTATCAAAAAACAGCCTCACCCAGTGTGGTTCAACATCTACCTATATTATATAAAACAAGCAAGCTTGGTTTTCAACTTCGGCACATCATATAAAACCATCTAAAGGTAAAAGGCATGTGAGCGCACTACAAGTAGCAGCTATGCACGGTAGGTAACCAAATAAAACCTGTAAATGAGAATAAAACAATGTAGTGCAGCACTAAAAGAATATATCTAATACATAGCCTTAATGATAAAATAAAGTTCATGGATATATGGTCATAAAATGTAAATGTCCCAAAAGTGACAGTAGTGCTCTGAATGTGCCTGCTTCAAAGATATTCTGGTGCTCGTGCAGATGGAAATAATAAAATTGCACACTCACCAGATGCACAATTTAATTGTGCATATATATATAGATATAGATGTGGTCTCAATGGGATTAGGGTAGAACAGATGATAGGTGATCCTCCCTCTGAAGGGTATATGTCACAACGGGCGATTCCAGGGTTTAAAGTTGATCCAAGACAGCCAGAGGTCCCCTACAGGGTTTGGTGGATGTAGTATCCTGGGTAGACAGGAGATCCCATCTCTGGGTACTGGGATGGATCTTTAAATGGGCTTGTGCAAATGAACACACTGGTACTTTATGAATTGCTCCCAAACATATTTGCATGCAGCAGCGTTTTTGTATCGCTGTGGACTGTGCAGATGGCCATCTGGTGCATCTGGTGAGTGCGCAATTTTATTATTTCCATCTGCACGAGCACCAGAATATCTTTGAAGCAGGCACCTTCAGAGCACTACTGTCACTTTTGGAACATTTAAATTTTATGACCATATATCCATGAACTTTATTTTATCATTAAGGCTATGTATTAGATATATTCTCTT